TATTCAATTATCTCTTGGGCATACATTTCTCATGTTCAAATAACTGATACACTTCAACGTATTATGATGGTTACAACTATTGTATTATTCTATTATTTGTCATATTATCATATCGTGGTTGAATTTAACCAATTCTGTCGCAAAAGAGAACATTATTTTAAATATCACTTTCATATAATAGATCTTCTATCAATTATTGTAGCGATATTTGTTTTTAGTGATATTTTGATTCGTTACTATACATTTGAGGACGGATTTAAAAATGCCGAAAGTAATCAATTCTTGACATTTATTATATTCTTGGATATTTTAGCACTTTGGTGCGATTTTGTAAGTGTATACTTATTATTCAATTCTGTATTGTTGCAAATTCTTTTTTCAAACTTTTGACTATTAATTTTATGTATTGCTATCAGATTTTACTATTGCGTATATACGAAGGTACAGTATTTGCTAATAATTCTTGTTAAAGGTTGTTTAAGCTTACATGTATAATTATTGTATATACGAACTTAGGTTTTGCGCAGTATCTTAATATACTTTCAAGTATTATAATTAAGATAAAACAAATTTTATTGTTTTTTATTCTAACTATTATTGCGATGGTAATAATAATTATCTTAGATGAATGTTTTTAATTTTTATTTATATTAACACAATGTTTTAAATTTAATTACTATACTGCATTACAAGGGACATGCATTGTGAGTTTTAGATTTAAATTTATCTGACTGTATCTTAAATCATGAAGATTTAAAATATCAATACAATTATGTATATCTAGATTTATTCTTCTTGGCTATCCATCTTATATTGGACTAAGTCAATCTTCGACAACGTATGAAATTACTAATGGAAATGCAGTATATACTATGATAGAGAATCCATTTTCAAGTATTATTGGTGCTATGCTGGCGGTATATGATTGGTCTTCAATTTCATTAGATGCATGGAATTTTTGGCCACTCACTATAATTAGTATAATTGGCAGTTTTTTTTTTGTGATTATAATACAAAATGTAATAATTTCATTCATGAGGTATGTTTTTGATCGTACAATTTATTATTATGATTTTCACTAACCTCTGATTCTTTTAAAAAAAGCGACGCTTTTTCTGATGCATTCAAAGATAATAAACGTTTTTTATACGGTTATCAAGTTGACTGGATTTATGAGTTTGCTATTCTTAAAAAGTCATTAGAATTTAATGACTTAGATTCCAAATTTAAAGATAAACTAAGAGCAAAATATATCTGCTTTTATGATGATCCGTCTATTACAAAGTCATGGAAGAAACAATCAGAAAAAAATGAAAAACAAACCATATCCTAAAATGCCAAAGTTACGTAGGAGAGAATTTAAATCTTGGCCAGTTGAAAGATGTGAATTTATTTGGAAAAAAGAGAAAAAGGATAAAGAGGCCCTAAATTTGACTGAAGAAGAAATTGAAGAAATTAAAGATCAAAAGTATCGGAACTTTGAAGATTTAGAAATGCAGCAAGATACGGAATCATTTCCATATTCTCTCATTTACCAGTAGTATTGATATAATGTAATCACCTGCGCCTACTTTTTGATGCACATGTTCTGTACGTACGTACAGTAGCCATCAAAAGTAACGCCCGATTTGCAGATCATCTCACATGAGCAAATAAAACGGTTGTGTTTACC